ATGTTCAGTGTGCAGTTTCAATTGATATCGATATTAAAATTCAGATTCATCTCCCACTCGACATTCTGATGCATTGTACAATTAAGAGATCATCACAATAATGTGCTTAGCAGAGGATGCTAGTAGGTATTCACATGGAACCATCAAGTTTGCACCTTTCATTCATTATGCTTCTGTTTGGCTAGAATTTATGAACGTTTAATTTATAAATAGGACGAAATGAGTGTGGATAGTACTTGTGAGTTCACTCAAATGTATGGTTGAAAATGAAGTTTAACCATTTATAAATGATTTATAAATCAACGCGGGTTAAAGTGTAAAAGAAAACAACATTCACTTCAAAGAAATATCAAAAGCCGCCACTGCTAATCGATTTGTTTTATGAACACAAGTAACCATTTTTATAAATGAGGAAGAATTAAAGCCAAAGAGATCATACCTCGGTTGGATTTATTAATTTGTTACGTTGGCCTACATATGTGATTAATTGTGTACAAGATTATCTTAAAGTTCAGCTCAATTAAAGTAATATAATAAAGAATTAAATTGTTGGGCTTATAACATCTAAATAAAGTATAAGACACATTATATGTGTAGAAATTAGATTCATTAGGGGTGTATTTGACGATGAACTAAATACATATGAAAACTATATATGGAGTTACGATCCTCAATTCATATGCAACTTCTCATTCTTTGCGTCATCACATCAACACAAGAATAAAAGAAAAAACATATTAAAGATAAAGATTAAAAACCCATAATTAAGAACAATGATTGAAGAAATCAAGAATGATTGGAGCAGCTAAATTGATGAACATGACAATCAAGATTAAAGACCAAGAAGCCAAAATCAAGAACAAGAACTCTAGAATCAAAAGAGTCAATCTTCAAGATTCAAGATCCAATAATAAAGAATCATTTTCAAAGAATTAAGATATGTTCCGCATTATTAATTTTTTTGGTGATTTGACATGAATGATTTTTACAATAAAGGAATTTAGGTTTTCAACTTTAAAAATTTCTAGTTTTTTAAAATTTAAAGTTTCATAAAGTTTCTACAAGTGATATCAGAGCCAACTCCATGTTAAAGTATTGAGATTTGAGAAATAATTTTAGGGTTGAAATTCATACTTTGGATTATTTAATTTTTGGATGTGCATTTGAGCCTTAAATTTAAAACAAAACAAAAAAAAAGTTTGTGAAATTTTCATTTTTTTGGGGAATTTTTTCGAAAGTAAAGAATGGTCGCAGCTCTATGTTTGTGTCGAGCACTGCTACCAGGCATTAAAGACAACATGATAGATATAAAAATATTGAATGGATTAGTTTTAGTGGGGTTGAGCATATCATGGGCGCGTTCAGTCGTGTTTAAAATCCAATTAAAATTAAAAATATAGTCGTTATTGAGTCTCACTCGTCTAATAAAAGTCAACAATAACGGCTAATTTTTCAATTTTATCCGATTTTAATCTCTACTGAACACGCCCCATGTTGGGTTGCTGTCATGGCTTATATTGAATAAACATGTTGACTAATGAATAATTAAGGGTTGCCTGTCCACTGTGCACGGCGCAGCGGTGCCCAAAAATGGGTGCTGCGGCGTTGTCTTGCTGTTTGTGCTTTTTTTTGGCAACGAAAAATAAGGAAAAAATAAAAATAAAAGATAAGGATTAAAAGCAAAAAATTTCAAATCCGGTATTAATGTTTCTTTAGGATTACTAATTTTCTAAAATAGATTAATTAAAACAACATGTTACCAAAGTAACCTCTATTGTCTAAATTAATTTATTTGGAATATTAGGAAAGTTGTATGTACGTAATTCATGCGGGTATTGATCGGCCCAAATAAAGGTCGCGATTGAATATTTGCACACATATGGTAATAAATATGTGACAATTATAATTTTTTTTTTTAATGTGAAAACTATGTCGGTTGAAAGATAGACTAATGTTTGACATGATTTATTGTCAATATTTGATTACTACATCAAGAGTACCATTTACAAATTGATATTTTCGTCCAAAGGTCTCTTGTGATTGACCCACAATTATTTGAATTTATTGATTGCTCAATATATATATTCTTACGTGAACATGTTAATTAAGTATAAGTTATCTGTTTAGTTAATCTATAAACTTCTACATTATTTGCAAGCATCAATTCAATTCCGTGCTTGAACTAAAATTTAAAGACTTTAAAGAGACCGTCTGTATTGTTCTTGGCGGCATGGATCTAGATCGGGCGTTAAAGGACCGAACAATCCATTACTTTTACGGATAAGACGAGTTCGCGAGCTGAAGCTCGAGGATTGAGCCGAACTTGGCCCTTGAGGAACGAGTCAAGCACTTGTTCCAAACGATCCATGTGCTCGGCTCAGCCCAGCCCGGCCCATGACCACTAAAACATACATGTAGTGGTTAATGATTTGATGCATGAGATAATAAAAAATTACTATATTAATGCATCAAATCACCAATCGTCACGTGTATGCCAGCCACGTAAGGAGGCTATAATAGTAAACGACTGCAAATAACATTACTCATTTGAAATTGTTAAAATCACAACCGTCCTACACAGACAAACTCAATGGTAGAATTTCTTTCCAAATAACACACGTCAATTTTTCATTGAAAGTTGAAAAAACAAAAAACACCCAATCAGGAGCGCTACCAAATCAGCCCTATAACCATACCCTGGCAGTTTTCACTATCCAAGGGACCTTTTCAACTTACAAACATATGGATAGAAATCGTATAAATGTTATGCCATTGTCCGAAAATATAAGGTTTAGGACTTTAGGCGTGACAAATGAAAGGTTATAGTAAAAATTGCAAAAAATTATATGTTACAAAGTGTTCCTCACGCTTTCTAACAAACGTAGAATACATCACTAATTACTAATTTTTGGATACAATTCCAAAAACATCTTATTATGTTCACAGAAGAATTCAAAGAATTACTACTAATTAGCAAAGAGACGAGGCGTGGGTTTTTATTGGATTATGTCCCATTTTTTTTTTTTTTTTTTCCGAAAACTCATTTTCAATCACATTCTCTCATAAAATATTTTTACATGTAAATCCATTATTTTTCTTATTTTTTAATCGTACATTCTTTAACAAAATACTGTATTTCAAAATATATTTTGACCTAAAAATGGGGCTCAAACGAGATTGGACTGAATCGAGCCCATTTACAGTTTTTAAAAGAGGAAATTACATAATACCAAGTGCTTAAAGATTTCAATTCAAAAACCAGGGACCGAATTTCATTATTCAAAAATTAGTTATCTATAAATTAAACATTATTCACCCAATTTAATTACAAAACCTAATAATTTCAATTCTTCTCTCACTCTCTTATCTCAGTTTCTCTCTCACCTCTCTCATGACCGCCAGCTGTCTCACGGCAAGGATGGCAACGGCATCGGCGCGAGGAAGGACAAATCCTAGATCTATTCCCCTTTCTTTTTCATCATTTCCCCCTCTTTCCACCGTCTCTCTTCTCCGCCGTCTCGCTTCAGCTGGAAGTAGTAGCTCTAATCACCCCTGATCTTAGCCGCGACACTCAGTTCGTCGATTCAGTGGCAAATCGACAGTGATTTTATATTATTTTGTGATGGTTTGTGGCTATTAGTGGTGGCTTTATAGTAGCTTTTGAGGTGATTTTGTGGTG